GCTGCCTGCTGCTAAAGTGTCCCTCCCCACCCCCCACCCCCGCTCCCGGGTTAGCCCCCCTGCCGCCCCGCCCTTGCGCCAACTTTGTGTTTGCTTTCCCCTCCTCGGCCTCGCGGCCTGGGGCTCGCCCCTCAGTGCTTCCAGGGCCGGGGTGCAGACGAGGGGCTGGGAGGGAAGCTGGCCGGTTCTCCCGGCTCGAAGGGCCCCCGTCGCCCCACCCCCGATCCCTGTTACCTCACCGCCCACAGCCTCCCCCCGCCCCCATAATTGGCCTTGCAGTTGGATGCCAAAGAGCCCAGAGTTGAGGGGGAGCAAAGCTTTGAGCCTAGCTAGGTCTCTCAGAGCGACCCAACACCCCCTTTTTGCCCTCTCCTTTACGTCCGTGTCTCCTGCCCCACCCCACTCCACGACTGAGGGCCCTGGGGGTCCCCAAACACGCCCCCACTTCCAGCTCTTCTCCCTCCCCACCCCCGAAAATAAAACTCAGGGACCAACATCTGCTTCCTTTGCACTTGCTCCGTCGACCCCTCCTCCCCTCATTGGAGGGGCTTCCGTGGGGGAGCAGGCGGGGTTGGGGGCCCTAATGTTTGACAGTATTTAGCAAGGAGAGGGCTGGCCCCTGCCCCCTGAGAGGTGGGACTGGTGGGAGGGGGGAAGCTCAGCCGGGGCCCAGCTGAGCTCCTTCCTTCCAGGGACCCGAGGATCCCCTCCCAGCGTGGGGAGACGCTTCCTAATCGTGGTGGGGAGGGGAGAGAGGGATGGGAAGGGGGTTGGGGAGAGGACCCTTCCGGAAGTCCCGAATTCCAGCCAGTTTATTCCTAAACATCCCATCATACCCCTCCCCTTTTTGTACTGCAATAATACTGTATTATAAGCTTGCACTATTCCCCGACCCCGGCCAGCGTAAGCATGCACGAAAAACTCAAAACTACACACACACACACACACACACACACACACACAAAGATGGGACGCTTTTTTTTTCTTCCTCTTTCTCTCCGGGGTGCGTCCTCAGTGTACATAGCGGCGTCGGGGGGCCCTGGGCCCGGGTGGAGAAGCATGCACTGAGCCCCCGCCCCTAGACTGCAAGTACTGTACAAATCCAACACTTGAAACCGACACGCACACGCGCGGCGCCGCCACGGGGGTGGGACACGGACACGCACCCACACGCACACGGCCGCGCACGGGCGGGGGTGGGGGCGCCCCGCCGTCACGCGTCGCTGTGCGAGGGATCTTGTGCCTTTTTAAGTCCCTGTATGTTAATGCAGACAATCCGGAGAGCTTGTGTACTACCAAATCCTGATTAAAAACGCCTTCCAGGAACCTGCGCCTCGCCTGCTTTCTTTTCATCCTTCTTCCTAACCCACCACTGGATGGGCGGAGGGCAGGGACCCTGGTCTCTGGGGCCCCGACTCCAAATTGCCAACTTGCTGGAGGAGGGATGGGAAGTAGGGGGGTGGGCACCTAGATCTGTTCTCTGTGGATCAGTCTATTGAAGCCGTGTGTGTGTGTGTGTGTGTGTGTGTGTGTGTGTGTGTGTGTGTGTGTGGTGGGAAGGAGGCCAGGAAGCCAGAGAGCCCTGTGAAGGGACCCTGCGAGCCTTTCCCTGCCCCTCTGCTCTGATGGGGGATCTGAGATAGCTCTGGCCTGGGGGAGAATGGTCTATCCAGGGGGATCAGCGAGAGAGCGGATTGTGCAGAGCCTGGGGGCGGGGGTGGGGTGCTGTTACCAGGCCACACTTTACTCCTTGGGGCCTAAAGCAAGTGTGGGGGCAGAAGAAGGGCAAGCTACAGCTGCATTTCTTGACCCCTGGAGCATTTAGAATGTTCCCATGCTGTCAGCTCCTTGCCCAGGACAGGTGAGGATGGGTTGGGGACACTGAGATCTGGGAGTCAGGTGTGCGAAGATCTGTAAAGACCCAGGGCCGCGACAGCCGCCTTCTCTGGTCATCTTAGTCTTTCCACCCAGATGACTGTCGATGGCCAGTGCGCCAGGGTGAGTGGCACTCCTAGGTGTGGGGTGGAGGAGCAGAGGGAGGGCTCCTGGCTTGGCAGATGTGGTTTGAGAGTGCAGACCCAGACAGACAGACAGGTGAGAAATCTGGGAAAGGTGGTGGTGGGCAGAGGGGGCTGCGCTGCCGACTTCTCCTGTTTTCCTGTGGGGCAATGATGGCAATCGGGGGCTCCCCTGGGGAGGAGGAGAGATGGGAAGGGTGCCCGGGGTGGCTGCTGAGGGAGGAGGAAGGGGCGCACTGCTGTGAGAGGCTTGCTGGGGAGGGGGAAGGGGTCAGGGCCCATCCTCCGGCTTTGGTCACTCGGCAGCCTCCCTTCTTTGACCTTGGGACTGTGGGCCTAAGTGTAGTGTGCAGTGTCTGGGCTTGGCCAGGGTCCAAGCAGGAGAGCCGCTCTCTGTACTCTGCCTGGGGAACGGGGGTGTGCAGACTAACCTGCCCCTGGTGTCAGACAAGTCAAGGCTGAGGAGAGTCGGGTTGTGGTGGCATCGAAAGATCAGAGTCTGGTCCATCCACCTCCCTCCTCTTTCCCTGCTGACTGGAGTAAACATGGACTTGGCGGGGCTCTGAAGTTGGTGAGGCCACAGCCTTTGGGTCTGGGCTCAGCGGAGGCAAGGGGAGGGCTAGGGCTTTCCTTCTCTCTGAGGGTCTCAGCTCCAGTGGCCTGCCTCCCCTCCTCTATGATTGACCCCTACCGCATCCGCCTTTGGCCAAATCCCATCAAAATCACCAGGGAGCTGTAAAACAGAGAGATTTCTTTTTTTTTTTTTTTTTTAAGATTTTATTTTGTTTTATTTTAAGATTTATTTATTTATTTTAGAGAAAGAGAGAGAGAGAGAGAGCGCTCGAGTGTGCGTGCAAGAGGAGGGAGGAGGGGCAGAGGGAGAGAATCCTTAAGCAGACTCCCTGCTGAGCATGGATTCCCAAACAGGGGACTCACTGAGCATGGATTCCCAAACAGGAGACTCAACATGGGGCTTGATCCCACCACCAATGAGATCATGACATGGGCCGAAATCAAGAGTCAGATGCCCAACTGACTGAAGCACCTAGGCTTCCCTTAAAGATTTTATTTTTTAAGTAATCTCTATACCCAACGTGGGGCTCAAACTCACAACCCTGAGATCGAGTCACATGCTCTACTGACTGAGCCAGCCAGGCTCCCCAATAACTTCTTTTTTATGTTTAATTTTTTTTTCTTTAAATTCATTTCAGACAGAGATACAGAGTGAGAGAGAGAGCAGGAGCAGTGGGGAGAGGCAGAGGGAGAGGGAGAAGCAGACTCCCTGCTGAGCAGGGAGCCCGATGTGGGGCTCGATCCCAGGACCTGGAGATCATGACCTGAGCCGAAGGCAGACGCATAACTGACTGAGCCACCCAGGCGCGCCATTTTTATGTTTATAATAATAGCTCTCTCCCAGGACGCCTGGGTGGCTCAGTCAGTTATGCGTTTGTCTTCGGCTCAGGTCATGATTCCAGAGTCCTGGGATCGAGTCTTGCGTCCGGCTCCCTGCTCAGTGGGGAGCCTGCTTCTCCCCTTCCCTCTGCCTGCTCCCCCTGCTTGTGCGTGCTCTCTCTCTCTGTCAGATAAATAAATACAATCTTTAAAAAAAAAAAATAGTTCTCTCCCTCCCTCCTTCCCTGTCCCCCCCATAAATAGAAGAACATGTTATACTTGTTATTCTGAAACCTAATTTTGATGCCCAACGATATGTCTTTTTTTTAAAAAAAGATTTTATTTATTTATTTGAGACAGAGAGAATGAGAGACAGAGAGCATGAGAGGGAGGAGGG